ATGAGAGTGGTTGTTCACCACTGGTACTCTTGCAGTCCCCATTTTTATCCACTTGAATCGCTCACATTTGTAGCCCTATCCCCTGGCAAATATGTAACCAAAAAGACCATGAGACTTTTAATGAATGGAGAGCTAAACATTACTAAATTAGCAGAGATATGTAAAATGCAGAGATTTTACTTTAAAATGTTTTTCTAGCCAAAACTGGTTTGGCTCAGTGGATAGAGCGTCGGTCTGCGGACTGAAGGGTCCCAGGTTCGACTCCGGTCAAGGGCATGTACATTGGTTGCGGGCACATCCCCAGTAGGGCGTGTGCAAGAGGCAGCTGGTCGATGTTTCTCTCTCATTGATGTTTCTAGCTCTCTAACCCTCTCCCTTCCTCTCTGTAAAAAATCAATAAAATATATATATATTTTTTTAAATGTTTTTTCTAGCCCTGGCTGGTTTGTCTCAATAGGTACAGCATTGGCCTGTGGACTGCAGGGTCCTAGGTTGGATTCCAGTCAAGAGCACTTGTCAGGTTTCGGGCTCAATCACCAGTGGGGGGAGGGGGTCATGCAGGAGGCAGCCGATCAGTTATTCTCTCTCATCATTGATGCTTCTATCTCTCTCCCTTCCTCTCTGAAATAAATAAAAATATATTTTTTTAAAAAACAAAACACACACACACACACACACACACACACAAGCCTGGCCAGCGTGGGTCCATGGTTGAGCATCAACCTATGAACCAGGAGGTCAACAGTTCGATTCCCAGTCAGCACATTCCTGGGTTGCAGGCTTGGTCCCCAGTAGCGGGGCACACAGGAAGCAGTCACTCAATGATACTGTCTCATCATTGACGTTTCTGTCTCTCCTTTCCCCTTACTCTCTGAAATCAATAAAAAGTATATATTTTTTAAAAAAAGAAAAGGATTGACCAAATATAAGGAAGAAGTCCTGACCCCTGTCTGGGCTGCTGTCCAAGCACAGACCTTAATTTAGAGGGCTGGCTTGGAAGTACAGTTGCCAGATACAGCAAAGAAAAAGACAGAACACCTAATTAAACTTGAATTTCAGATACTTAACGAATAATTTTCTAATAGAAGCATGTTGTAAATGATGCATGGAACATACTTGTATTAAAAAAAAAAAAGGAATCATGCCTTGTTTATCTGAAACTCCCATTTAACTGGGAGTCCTGGCAGGGTTTCTGGCAGCCCTACAAGAACCAGAGCACCCTTCCAGCACAGGGCACACTCATAAGCACCCTTGTATTTATATTATTGTTGTATTTACCTTGAAGGTGTCCTCGGTTTATGGTAAATGGTACTGACTTTCTGTGAAAGGAGTATCTTTCCCTCCCATGAACCTCAGTTTCTCCATGTGGGAAGTGAAGGGGCTGGGCCAGACGACTTTCTGGGACCTGTGGCTTGGATGTCTAGAAGTCTATTCATAGGCATCCCACAGTTCTGGAGCCTTTCTCCCCGTCACCACCAGGGGGTGTCCTGACTCTCTTTGGCGGCCTCGCAGGCAGTGGCGGGGGAGGAAGCTGGTCCCTCTGGCTCCAGGGAACCTTGGGGAAACCAGGTTATGAGGCCTGCATGGCCCCAAGTCTTACTCACTCCCAGGACAACCTGTTCAGACGAAGAGAGGGGGCACTCTCATAGGGTCTCTGAAGATGAGACCATCTCACCTGGCTCCTCCTTTACCATAAAGTAGAAGGTAGATTGAACGCCTGGAGAGGTGAGGCGCTTGTTCAGGCTCACACACTGTTCAGGAAACTGGACTCCCGAGTCATTGTCCAGGGCCTTGACTGCTGTAGGGAGCCCTATTGTTCTGTTTCCTGTGGGACATATTTAACCCCTGCAGTCCCGGTACCAGTGTAGACACCAGCAGCCCTGCACACCTTAGGACTGAGATGTACCTGGAGCCCTTCACAGAGACATTGTGGCCTCACAACCTCACAACTGAGAGCGGACAGGGGAAAAGGCACCGGGGAAAGAGCAGGCCCCTCACATTTAAGTTGGGATGATGATGATGATGATGATGATGGTGATGATGATGATGATGATGATCTTCCCTCTATGCTAGATACAACAACCCATGGGGCAAGGACCACTGTCATCAGGACTTTATTTTTTTAATATATTTTATTAATTTTTTTTTATATAGAGAGAAAGAAGGGAGGAGAGAGAACCAGAAACATCAATGAGAGAGAAACACCAATCAGCTGCCTCCTGCATACCCCCCACTGGGGATGTGCCCGCAACCAAAGCACATGCCCTCTACTGGAATTGAACCTGGGTCTCTTGAGTCCACAGGCCAATGCTCTATCCACTGAGCCAAACCGGTCAGGGCTGTCGTTAGGATTTTACAGGTGAGGAAACCAGCTCAGCGTTAGGTCATGGGACTAACGGGGCTCAATCCGGTTCTGCCGCAGATGTTGGGAAGGAGGGAGGCTAGACCAGGGCCTAGATGGTCTCCAAAGGACCCTTCCCACCTCCTTATCCTCCCACTTTGTGGTGAAGAGGAATTGCCCAAAGGTAGGGGTGATTTGGGGGGAGGGGAGTTACAGATTAGGCATGAATTAGCATTGCATTCATCCTAATTCAGTACTGTTTTGGGCCATCTGATTATCAAAGAGAAAGTCTCTTAGATTTGTTCTTTAAATATGTAACAGAACATCTCATAATTGCATAGCATTGTCTTTCGATTGCATTTATATTTGTAATGTATTTTATCTTTAATGTTTTCTCGATTTGTGGTAAATGATACTGATTTTCCACTTAAAGTAACGATGCAGTTTCCTTTAATTTTTTTTTTTTTTTAATAAGTGATTTGATTTAAAGGGAGGGAAAGCACAGCTAGAAGGAGGATTCTGAGTTCTGAGGGCCTCTATTAATTCCGCTGATCAGTCTAGCCACAGCCAGCACAGGCACAGCCTTCCCCTCCCCCATCCCCACATCTCCTCCCCACCCCCAGAGCCCTGAGCTCCCCCATCCCCAGATCTTCCCCCCCCCCCCCCCCCAGAGCCCTGAGCTGATTCATGCTTCTTGCCTTTCTTTGATGCTGCCTTTTTCCTTGCAAACTCTGAGGAGCTCCTTAGAAGGAGGCATCTAGATATGGGGGGTGGGATGGAAGGAGAGGGGAAGCTCTGGGTTATAGTTCCCCCCTCCTCCATTTTTTATTGCCCCATTGCATGACCAAATCACTTGACCTCCCTGACCCTCAGTTTCCTCTGTAAGGCGGTGGCAAAGCTGTTGGAATAGTGGGTGCTGGGCATCGCAGGGGTGATCTGCCCTGGGCTGCACCCTAACGTTCTCAAGGCAGATGTCACAGTTCCCTCCTGACCTGAGGGGACACCCCGTTCAGTCCTTGTTCCCCATAGCTCTGTGCTTTGTGTTTCCATGCTTTCTACCTGAAGAGACTGTTAATGGCAGCTCCAGGGACCACGCCCGGCTTGCTGATGAGAACATGGCCACATCTAGCATACTCCAGGCACCTCATAAACATCATAGCATGAGTACTAAGCCAACACTGACATTTACCTTATCTGTCTCTCTGCCTGTAGAGAGAGATAATCCCCGAGTTAGGAGACTGGTTTGCATTCCACAAATGGCCAAGACCCAACTGGCCAGTCCCTCTCATTCCTCTCTCTCCTGTTGTGCAGGAAAAAGAACACCAGAAAACAGCCTGATTTTTATGAGTTTGTATTATTTTAGTAATTTGAAAGCAATTTAAAATAAGAGGTGGGGGAGAAACACCTGAAGACCCACTGTGTGACCCCACAGTGGAGCACACATCTTGGGCCTGTCTCTCTAAGGGGAGTCGGGACACCACCTTGAAAAATCACATCATGGTGTGCATGATGTGATTTATCTTTAAGGCTTTGAGAAGTGCTCTGCGGATTTATGCATTATTGTTCCAGAATCAGTGTTTTCTGAAAGCAAATTTTAATCCCAACCCTTCCCTGGCTTAACAGCCTCCAAAGACTTCCATTGCACAAAAAAATAAAATCCAAACTCCTTACCACAGCCTGCGCGGCTGCCTGGTTTGGCCTCCGCCCACCTCTTGCTTCACCCGGTATGACCTACTCCTCATATTTTGTGCACCCGTCACACTGGCTTGAGACTCATCTCGCTCCACTTCTACCTCAAAGCCTGTGCACTGTGCTGTTCCCTCTGCCTGGAATGCTTTTCCCCTCCCTTTTCCCTTTCCCCACCCCCACCTCCTATACTCAATCCCCTTCTTTTCTTTTGTGACTCAGATTTTTTCAAGGAATCTTCCCAGATGCCCTAAGAACAGCCATATCCAATAGAATTCCCAGCAATGATGAAAAAGGTCTAGATCTGCCCTGCTCAGTAAGGCAACCACTAACCACCTGTGGCTGTTGGTACTTCACATGTCTAGTGTGACCAAGAAGCTATATTTTTAATTAATTCAAATTTCAATGTAAATAGCCACCCATGGGTAGTTAGTAGGTCATTGTGATTCCAGAAAAATCTGTGCTCTACTATTACACTCACGGTTTCTTATATTCCTTCCTGGAACCTACCACAGCTTGTAATTTATATTTAGTTGTGCAGTTGTTTAATCTATTCCTCGATAAACTGTGTGTTTCAGATGAACAAATGCTTTGTCTGCATTGCCCATATTTGGGACCTGGTACCTAGTAGGTTCATTATAAACAGTTGTTGAATAATGGATGGATGGGTGGATGGATGGATAACTAAGTAGTGAAAGGAGATAGTTGCATAGCTTGGTGTTTCTGAAAATGAAGTGCAATAACAAAAAGGGTTAGCCCACAAGTCATAACAAAAAGACAAATTTGTGCTTATAGGAACCATACATTCCCTGTGCATAAATAAGCCTCTGGTGTGTACAGGTGTGTGTTCAAAAGCATAAGTGTGTTTGCAGAAGTTTGCATTTGTGTAGCTGTACACACAAACACCTATGTCCACGGGTCTGCATGTCAGGGTGGCGAGGTGACTGAGACACAGACACAATCACTCCGGAAGGCAGTTTCTAAGTCGTTACTTTTATTTTGGAAGATTTGTCAAACTCCCCGCATCGCGGCAAGAGTCTGCATGATTAATAAGAAGCAGCTTTTTCATGAAATGCTTGGAGGTGGAGTTCTCAGCCTGTGAGATCTGGCCATCCTATTGACCTTGAAGTTTCTCTTGGTTAGTAGATGGGAAACGGGGGAGGGGAGAAAAGGAGAAACATGCTAGGAACCAAGGGAAAGACCCCTCATCCAAAAAATGAAAAGGGATAAAAAAAAATTTTTTTTTTTTAAACTCAGAAAACAAAACCAATTCACTAACTCCACTTTTTCTATTTTCCAACTTTCTACACTTCACTCCTGATCTTGGCTTTCCTGGCTGAACAGCATCCTATGAAATGGCACCGAAATATAAGGGGAGTGGTGAGGAGCTGGGTTTGAGTGAGAGCTTACATGCTTTCAAACACAGCCCTGGGCTCTCCCTGCACAGCCCCGGGCAAGCAAGACCAGTTATCTGCTGTTCCATAGGTGGGTTTCCAGGACTTCCCCCACCCCTGGTCCTCCAGTCCCAGAAACATTCCTGCCAACGCCATGTGTCTGTTACTTCCCTTTGCCACCTTCAGGCCAGCGGGGAAGACCCCGCCCACCCCACCGGCAGCCAACACCCTGAAATAAAATTAACACAGAATCTGATTGGTGAGCATGAGTTTGAACAGAGAACTCAAGAGCAAATCTGAAGATGCAATATGTGTTGAAGGCAGATGTGAACAAAAAAAGTCCCCACCCTTTTGCCACTAAGACAACGGGCAGAGAAAAACGGGATCGTTAGTGGGTGAGCAAGAGGCAGAGTTACCGCTAAGAATGTCATGATTTGGGTTACAACTTCCATTTTTAGCACCGTTAATGTGTTCAGTTACGTCTATATTAGCACCTTGTCCCCAGGCAGAACAATAAACCATCCAAACATTTTAAACTTTGGGGGAAAAGGGGAGGGGAAGGTTAAAGAGAGAGGATCTGGTCCTGCGGGAGGAGGTGTGGACTTAGATCACCAGATCCTTGTCGATATCCTCTGTAAACAAGAAGAGAAAGCTGAGTTAGACACCAGGCCTGTGGGCACAAGGCATGTATCCCCGAGGAGTCAGGGATCCCCCATCCCCAGGACCAGGGGCCAGGTGACTTCCCAAGGTCACCCAGGAAGTCAGTGACTGAGCATGCTAGTCTCCCTGTCCCTGTTGCTTACACACATGCCACGTTATGTTTCCTCTTTCCCCTCTAGGTACCTGCCAGTTCCCCAATAAGACGAGGCAGAGTGAGCGCTAATGCTAATGCTCCAGGAAGGGAGAAAGAGACCGCCCGCCCGCCCAGTAGTCAGGAAGCACTGAGAGAGCGAGGCTCACCCCGCAGGGAGAGCAGACAGGAGTTAACTCAGCAGAGAGCAGAGCTAGGCAGAGGACAGAAACACAGATGACAGAAGCGAGAGGAGGGAGGCGGAGGCCAGCAGCCCGCTGCTCAGACACTCACTCTCCTTGATGCCGAAGCAGCGGGCCCACTCGTCCAGAGCGATGTACTTGTCGTTGTCCAGGTCACAGGTCTCGAAAAAGCGGGTGGTGCAGTGCTCCATGGGGATGAGGGGTGCACGCAGCGGGGCCAGCTCGGTGTGGGACAGGTACCTGCAGGGGGTGGGGAGGAAGGAGGTGGGAAGGGCCTTAGGCGTGAGAAAGCTACTGGTCTGCTGTGGGACTTAGAGAGTAGCACTGCCCGGCCTGAGCCTCAGTTTCCCCTCCATCAGAAGGGGAAGCATTAACCACGATGCCTGAGGGTCCTTCCAGTTTTGAGGGCTCATAACAAAGGTCTCTTGGTGCGTTTGTTTCCTAATTGGCTAAGAATGGGGGCACAGAAACTTCAGATGAAAATTTCAGCACCTCTGCTATCGGTAGATCAAAATCTGGCATGAAGCCACACCTGTTTCCTAGGGACACACATTTTTACAGCTGCAAATGCACAGAAAGGGTCTAAAAAGAGCCATCGAACTGATGACAGTGCTGACTTCCGGGGAGGAGCGTGGGAAGGGATGGGGACTGGCAGGCAGAGCCAAAGGGCCTCTAACGTTCCCCCCAGAGCTTTAGTGTGTTTATATAGGATGTAACTGTGAGAGGGAGGCCTTCTAGCTCTCACCCCTGTCCCCATCCCTCTTCCTCCCGCTCGGCCTTGACCCCAGAGCTCATGTAGGATTTCCCCTTGTCCCTCAGAGCCCTCAGCTGGTTGTCCTCAGAACACTCTTCCCAAGGGGCTGCGACGTGACTCCAGTTTTCTCTCCAGTCCCCAGACCCTCACTGCCCCACCCAACTCACGGAAGGAACCCCCTCCCCTTTGTTGTGTACAGCTCCAGGATAAGAAGAGGGAGGCTGGGCCCCTGGCCCAGGCTGGTCCGCTCTTCCAGATGTGAGTCCCTTGCAGCCCCACCCAGACACTTCCCTCCCGGCCCCTTCCCTGTGGTGGGATCCAGTCGCTCTGCCCCGAGCTCCAGATGTTCCCTTGACTTTTCCCCTCCCTCTCACAGGGAGGAACGCAGTTGGATCCCAGCCATGGGAAGAGCCTGGGAGAGAAGCAGCAGGGAGTTCCCAGAGCTCAGGACACTCCAGCCAAGGGCACAAGGGCTGGAGTCTGGCCCTCCTTTCCTGGAAGAATGGATGCCCAAGGCCAGCACTCACAGGGCTGAGGAAGGACTATCAGGCTCCGCTGTCTTCCGCCTCTCCTGGCTTAAGGAGTGTGTCTTGCTTTCTCCCCCGCTGTCCCCCTCCACCCCCTTCACTCCCCTCCCCCACCCCCCCAGTTCCGTATCCTTTCTCAGGACGCCTCTCCTTCCTTCCCCAACTTCAGGGCACACTGTGGGCTCTAGGACTGGGAGCATCAGAGGAGGCTGAGAGGGTTGTGGGCCGGACCGAGTGCACCTGCCAGCTCTGGCCCATGCCTGTGCACTCCGGGGCCAGGGCCAGGGCGGCCCGCCCTCTGTGCTCCTGGGGCCTGGCCTTACCCGTCAATGGGGTGCTGGTCCAGCTGGCCGAACTGCCAGTGCACAGGGAAGATGTACATGTTGTAGTTCTTCTCGAAGTCCCGGGCCAGCAGCTCCACGGGGTGGTCTCCAGCTTCCAGGCGCTTCTCATTCTCGTGGATCTTCTTCACCTGTGGGGGCAGAGACACTGTGAGACACTGTCCAGGCCAGGCAGGGTCCCCTCCCACCCTCACAGGAGGCCAGAGCAGGTAGAAATCGGCCAAGCCCAGGGTTCAAAAAGAGGGAAGTGGCAGTGACGGGGTATCAGCATCTCATCCACGAAGGTGGGGGCCTGGGTGATCTCCAAGGGTTCTTCACCACAGAGTCGCCGATCCAGGAGGCCCAGGCCCGGGAATCTGCATTTTGTCAATACCCCTCTGCCCCAATGCTTGATATGTCCATTAAAGTTTGAGAGCCACAGACCAGAAGGAAAAAGTACTAGGGTTGTCTGTGTCTCTTGTTGAACAGTGAGCTAAACCAAGTGAGCAGCAGGTCTCTTCATTACAGGACTTCTCAGAGCCTTTAAGGTGGGTCTGTGCACAATGAGACTCCACAGGCAGCGAGGAAAAGTCTGTGTCAGCGCCTAGGATGAAGCGCCTGTCAGAGCAGGGACCTGGTAGCCTAGCTCTGGGGCTGGGACTGTGGGTCTCAGACAGGCTGGGGCCAGCTCAGGGCCAGAAACAGACCACCTACCCGCAGCTTCTGCTTCTCGGTCAGGAGGTTGTTGTCCTCATCCCTCTCGTACAGTGTGACCAGGACATTCTTGAGCCAGTCCCGCATGCGCAGGGGGAATTCGGTCAGCTCAGAGTCCAGGCAGGGGGCGATGTCTAGGGTCCAAAATACCAGGTGGTCAGCAGAGACCCCAACTCTCCCTGCCTGGGGCCCACAGGCTGGCTGGGCCTCTCTCCCCACCTCACGCCTTCATCCTACTGCCACTTCTAAAAGTGACCCTGGCACAGTGACTCAGCCTCTCTGGGCCACAGTTTCTTTTTTCTTTTCTTTTTTAATATATTTTATTGAGAGGAAGGGAGAGGGATAGAGAGTTAGAAACATTGATGAGAGAGAAACATTGATCAGCTGCCACCTGTACCCTCACCACTAGGGATGTGCCCACAACTGAGGGCACATGCCCTTGACCAGAATCAAACCTGGGACCCTTGAGTCTGCAGGCCAATGCTCTAACCACTAAGCAAAACTGGTCAGGGCGAGGGTCACAGTTTCTTTACGCCACATGAGCAAAGATCGGGTGTGGGGAAGAACGCTCTGCAAACTGAAAAGCTCAAAGGCACGTCTGCTGCTCGGTTTTGACCTTGTCCTTGACCTGCTGAGGGTAATGGCTCACTCCAGTGGCTCCTGCACCTTTCTGAGTGTTGGGCCTAGGACCCAGGCTGGTGATGTCAACTATTGTGAGGTGTTTGAAGAGTAACATCTGTCCACAAGCTATGCTTAGCAGCGGTGGGGGGGAGTGGGGTATCAGGACTGTTTAACCACCAGAACATAAGTGATAATTATTCCATCCTGGTCTTCGGAACTTAGGACTCTCAGAATGTTGCAGCTGGAGATTTCATCAAAGTCTCCCCTCTTACGGGACTTATTAGTGGTTTGCACGGAGAGAAGGGACTTTGCTCAAGGCCACATTGTCAGAGCCTCTTCCAGCATCCAGGGCATGTGGTTGCCTGGGGCACAAGGGTCTGACTTTCCCTCATCCTTGGACCTCTGGAGAGTCCCTCGGTGGTTAGGACCACTGTCTCCTCCCCCACAGCTGGGGATGGAAGAGGAGCTCAGTGCTGGAAATACCAGGAGTTGGAGCGAGTGAGCAGCAGGCCCCAGAGGACAGCAGGAACCACGGGGTGAAAGGCTCCTTGGCACACTCCTCAGTCTCACTGCCCAAAACTCCTACCAACATTCCCCCTTGTTTCAGGCCTGTGCCTTCTCACGCCTCACGCTGGGCCCCACAACTGGAGAGGTGGACCGACCACGGGAGAGCCTGGGTTTCCCCTGCGCCTTTCTGCATTCTGCACACCTGAGGCAGGGGCGGGGCTCTCTCCAGGGCCATCTGGGGCCAGAATGTACAGATACACGGCGTGGATGTTGTCTTGGCCGGAGAGCAGATGTGGCTTTGGGGGTTTCAAATGATGGGGAAGCTGCCAACACTGAAGGAGGCACCTGAGCCAGCTGAACCTGCACCTGGCATCGCTGACAGGAAGCCAGACTACACCCTGGCACTTCTCCCCCAGACACCTGATTCCCAGGTTCCTAGAACAGGGCAGTTAATCATGTGTCTGTCGCGGGCAGATAGGAATATAATGGGATAAGAAGGCCAAGGATCTGACAATACTGAGTAACGGGGAAATTGACAGGCATACCTCTAGGTTAAAGCACTCAATATTTTAAAAGCACTTTATAGTACCAGGTGGGACCTCATCTTTGCTTTACAATGTTGAAGCAGGAAAGACTTGGGTTAGCCCTAGAGAAGAACTTCCTCATCATTGGAGAAAACACATTCTCCCTGCTCTTGTGCTTTCACAGCTGCCCAGTGGTTCCCCAGCGATGTCCTGAATGCAGAGCTGAGAGGAACCTACTCATGGACAACCATCTTACTTTATAAACGGAAACCCCGAAGCTCAGAGAGGGGAGATTTGCCTGAGATCTCACAGCACAGGGGTGGCAGTGTCAATACCAATGTCAGTTCAGTGCTCTCTCCCCCAATGGAGGCTGGAGGGCCCCAGGAGACTCACATTTGCAGGGTCCAATGTAGTCCAGGTGGAGTTTGTGGCCCTTCTTGGTGCCCTCCAGGGTGCACTTGGTGGCAAAGAAGTGGCAGGAAGAGTCGAAGGTCTTGTTGTCGTTGCTGCACACCTGGTGGCAAAACATAGAGCATCTCACTTTCATTCCCAAAGCCCTTCTCGGGTACCACCCTCCTCGCCTATCTCAGAGATGGGACACTGAAGGCCAAGCTAGGAACGCGATTAGTCCAAGGTCACACAGTGAGCTAATGGTGCGGCTGCGGCAAGAATTCAGTGGCTGAGTGGTTGAGCGTTGACCTGTGAACCTGGAGGTCACAGTTGGATTTCCCATCAGGGCATATGCCCGGGTTGTAGACTTGATCCCCAGTGTGAGGTGTGTGGGAGGCAACTAATCAATGATTCAGCATTGGTGTTTCTATCTCTCCCTGTCCCTCTCTGAAATCAGTAAAAAACATATATATATATTTGTATATATAAATTTATAATATATATTTTTATTTATTTATTTACTTATTTATTTATTTAAAGAACCCAGTCTTTGGCATCCCAGGCCAATATTCAGGCCATGCTGAGAGCCACAGTTGGTCTCTGAGCAGAGGTACAACTAAGTCAGGGCTGAGATATGAGAAAACTGGAGGGTGTGGATGGGTGAATTAAAGCTGGAGATGGCAAAAGGCAGAGTGTGCAGAAGCATTAACCCGGGAGGCTTTGGAGACTGGAGCTGCTCAGTAGAACCAGCAAGCCGACAGGTGGCTGGGCAGACCCTGTGTGTTGGGAAGGGCCCAATCCCCGGCCCCACCTCACGCCTCAGTGCTCACCTTTTCAAACTCGCCAATGGGGGCGGGGCAGCTGGTGGGGTCCTGGCACACGCACATGGGGGTGTTGCTCTCGTCCAGCTCACACACCTTGCCGTGCTTGCAGTGGTGATTCTGGCAGGGGTCTGGGAGGGCAGGGCATGCAGTCACACCACCCGGCCCGGCCCACCCTCCCCACCCCAATCCAGTCCTATCCTTGGGCAGGAGCCCTCGCCTGTGCCCCCCCACCCTGGGCTTTGGGCAGATGAGCTTCCCCTCTCTTCTGCGGAGCCCAGGGTTGGCATTTAGGGGAGCAGTTAGCTCAGTCTTGGGGTAAGAGACTCAGTCTGAGATCATGTTCAGGCACAGCTTGGGGTGCTGTAGGCTCAGTCTAGGGCCCCGGGATGCCATATGGCTCCCTTGGGGACCGGAGCAAGCAGTGTGTTCTGAGCTCTCGGGTGATCGATCAGTGAGGCATTTTTGGATTCTAGAATAGACTTTCTAGAACGATGGGAGAATGTCAACAATCATGGATCCAGGAAGCTTTGAGGCCCAACAAAAACGGCCAAAGAAGCTGCAGAGGAAAAGGGAGAAGGGCCCGAGGCTATGGGGAACAATGGAGCCGCCGAGCCTGGTAAACACCGGACGAGGTGGACGTGGAAGGGAAGGAACAGGGTTCAGTGGACGCCCCTGCGCCCAAAAAAGCTCCGTGCCCTCAGGGTGAGAGCGCGTCCAGCCTTCCCTCCTGATGCTGGACTTGGGGATTTTAGTCATTTATTAGACGCCTGCTCTGCGGGACACTGGGCCAAGTGCTCTTATGCCCATCCTCCACAGCCCCAGGCCGAGGGGCTGCCCTCTGCATCATTTCCTGTTAGGGCTGGCGGAGCCGGGCCAGGAGCTAAGCAAGCAGTCCATCCCAGGGTGCTTGCAGAGGGGCCGGCAGGTCGAAATGCACACGTGGGTGGTTTTGCCTGCCAAGTCCACGTTGGAGATGGAGATGTCAGTTTGGTGGCCTGGATCCAGCGGCCCTAGCTCTCTCTCTCTCTCTCTAACTCACTCCATGGACAGCACCAGATACGTTAGGCCAGGAATCCAGGCCTCGGGGCTGCGTGAAAATCACGTAAGCTAAGGAGTATGGAAGGTGTGCTCAGGTGTGCTCCTGTGTGGGGCTTGGGCTCAAGGAGAGGCCATCGCAGAGCTGGGGGACCAGTGACCCAGTGAGAGTGCGAACCCCCTCTGGAATCAGGGAGCAGCCGTTTCCAGCTGAGGACCTCCCTTCCTGCCGCTCCCAGCATGGACAGCCTGGCTGCACAGGCCTTTCCCGGATTCCTGAGAATATTCCCAACCTTTAAGTCAAAGCTGTTTCTCCTCCACAGCCTGCCCTGGAGGGAGGACCCACCCCCCTCCCTACACACACACACACACACACACACACACACACACACACAAACACACCCGCATTTCCCTAGAAAGGAACCTCATGTGGGCTGTCCCCGAGCCCAGGCGGCGGAGGGCAAACACTAGATGTTGCAAAACATGAGAAGAGACCTACTTTCAGCCACCACCTCCTCCTCAGCTTCCTCAGCACCTTCCTCAAATTCTCCTACTTCCACCTGGACGGGGTTGATTCCCACGGGGACCTGGTTTGGAGGGAGAAGAAGGAGATCATTGGCCCCACCCCAGACCTGGAAGAAAGCGCTGCAGGCTGGAGGGGACTTGGCGGAAGCTTTAGGTTCCCACAGGGGATGGTGAGATGACAAGCCAGAGAGCTGTGCTGGGCCCAGGTCACCAAGCACCAATGCCAGCTCCAGAATTTAGACCTAATCTCAGCGCACCCCTGTGCTGGCTGTGCCCTGGATTCTATCCAGAGGCGTCTGGGGACCACCACCAGGGGTATTAGGGCAAAAGGCAGTGCCAAGCCCTCTATCCCTGCCAGCAACACGGGCAGCTCCCCTTTTGAAGGCTGGATGTATGGGGAGACTGGGTGATCCTCTAAGAAAAATGGTCTCACAGCTTCAGAAATAAAAGCTTTCAAAATTATAGCTCCCCCTGCAGGGTTCCACTGACGTTTGGGAAGCATCCGAGAGGCTGTTGAGATTAGAGGATGTATAGGGTTTTCATCTGTGCACGTGGGGTACAAGCGCCCCGAGCCAGCAGGAGACCCGCTGAGCCAGACTGGGTTCTGGAGGGAAAGCAGGTGGAGCAGGGAGGGGCGGGAGCCACCACCCACCTACCTCGGACACCTCAGCCACTGTTTCCTCCACCACCTCTGTCTCATCAGGCAGGGCTTCCTGCTGCTGCTGGGAAGAGAAAATGGGGTTCAGAGAGGTCAAGGCCAAGGCCGGCTTCGCCTATGCACTGCTTCCAGCCTGGAGCACTGAAGCTGGGAACAGCTCATGGGAGATTTCCCAGGCTGTGACTAAGGGACTGCCTGGGTGGGATGACCTGGCAAAAGAGAAGCCAGACACAGACCCCATGGCACTCTGAGCGCCTCCTGGTTATGCCATCTATCTGAAGTCTCTGTATGGCTTTGGTTTGGAACGCATTCCCACTGCTTCAACTCCAAAAAAGTCTGCAAACCACAGGGGCAGAACAGATGGGGAAGCAGATTCGAGGGGATGGAGGGCACCGTGGGTCTGCACAGATGTCACTCTCTTCCCCACGTGTGTGATGTGATTGTGGTGATTATTAGGCAATTCCTTCTCGCCATGTCAATGAGGAGTAGGCAAAAATAAGATAACGACTTGGAGACCGCTAGCTGGCTGGGGCTGCTTCTAAAAAGAATGTTAACCTTGTGAAAATGCTTGCCAAAATCTACCCACCCAATCAGGATTGCCAGGGTCTGCCATCACTCATGGCGAGAGGATAAGAGAATCCCGGGTTGAAAGAAGCTATTCCCTCTGCCTGCCCACCTTTCTTCACCCCTCCTCTGGCCAAGGCTTCCCATGTAGCTTTGGGCAGCCACCCTGGCCCTCTGCATGGTTCTCGGAGGGACCGTGTCAGTCAAGGGACCCTGCCCGCACCCCCTTGGCCAGGACAGACCCAGGACCTGAGCTCAGCTGGACTGATGCTCCTTTTTTTTTTTTTTTTTTTTTTTTTTAATTTTTTTGGCACATTCTCTCAAAAAGTGAAAACTGTTGGAGATCTATTCAGATGGCAACCTCTCCGAGACTGTCCATTAGTTCTTACCTCCCAGTCCTGGAACTTCTTTATCTACTCCTCCCCATGGCCTTTGATGTTATAATCTACCTCTGTGTCCTCTTCCCCCCTAATTTAGTCAGATTGCAGCCTGTTGCTTGCAAACAAAGAGCTCTCAGGGATCCAGAAACTGACCCATCCCCCTCCCTGTGGCTGGACCCTCAGCACCGCTCCCCCTCAGCCAGAGCTGCTCAGGTGGCACAGTGGTCTCCACCTTTTAAAGCAGTCCTAGTCTGCTTCTGAGAAACTCTGCTAAAAAGCTCATTTCATTACACGGAAATCTCTTTTCTCCGAAATCTACACCTAGTGGCCTTCGTTGCAAGTTTTATCCTGAGCCCATTAAAAAATATTTTAAAAAAATATAAAACAAATAGCTTGAGATGAGGGAAGTCCCTGTGCCCTCTGAGCATCCAGGGCTGGCAGGTTCGATGACCCTGAGCTGGTGGCGGGAGGTGAGACCACGCAGAGATGCTCTCCGGTTACTTACAGGGGCCGCCAAGGCCCTGCCGGCCAGGCAAAGCAGAAAGAAGATCCACGCCTTCATGGTGCCGGGAACCCTGCGGGGGGAGAGAACTCAGTGAGTAGGCTCCTTCTATTGCTGAATTCCAGTGGCATACAATATAACTTACTATTATTTTTAAGTTTTTATTTATTGATTTTTAGAGAGCGGGAGAGGAACACAAGCCAACTGAGCTGCCCGGCCAGGCCTACAAGAGAATTTTAGATGGACATGTTCTATGATAGCCAAAGACGTGGAAAAAGCTGCTTCTGCTCAGTTCTCTTTCCATGCCGATTACATGGGAGCGTCTTAGTTGATGCTGAGGCACCTTTAGCACCTAACACTCATCTACCTTCCTTTTGACCAGAGAGCAGGCCCTGGCTCAGAGCCTCCACGGGAAACTATTTCCAGTTGGAATTCAACCAATTGTTTTGTCTTCCTTGTATGTATTTTTATAGCTTCCTTTTATGATGACAAAGGTATACAGACTTTTCCATTTATAGTAATGATACAAAGTCTCCCTTCTCAGTACACTTATTTGAAGTTTTTAAAAGGTGATCAGGAAGATAACTGGCCAGTTTGCCAAGTCTGGACAATGCTAAGACAGATCCTGCCCAAGGGGCCTTCAGTTCTAGAATTAGTCTCCTGTCTCCTCCTCTCCCTCTTCCTCCCACCCCCGCCCCCTTCCCCTCTACAATGGAAGAAGTTAGCAGGCCACAACCTCTTGCCAATTTGCCATTTTGAGACAATGAGGTCTACCCTGTAAGACAAAGAACAATAGTGTTGGGCCTGTGGCATGTGAGGGTGGCCACACTCTTTTCCGTTCTCCCCAGAAGGGTCAGTTTTCCTCCGGATCCTGTAGGGAGACTGTCCAAATGCGAACATGTGCTGCGTGTTCTCTTCCCCCTTCACGGCTGAAGGGTGTGCGTTGGATCTAGGAAGCTCTGGTCACTGCTAAGACCTCACCCCTTTGATGCTGAACTCTGGACTCTCGTGACTGGTAGGATCCGGAAGCAGGACCCTCTCCGGCGATTCCATGCCAACTGTGCCATCCCTAACAGAGGGTCCATGGTGAAGACATTCTGTTTCTTGTTCTCACTAAACGTGCTTCCATTTTCAAACTCTTCCTCAGACTGATCTAAATTCGACTCACCCAGGCTTCTTCTGATCACCCAGGCCTCTTCCCCCTCCTGTGGCCAAACAGAGCAAGCACAGCCCCTCGGCTCCCAAACCACTCTTAGGCAAGGGGAGTGGTTGCCCTGTCTTCCCTCTGTCGTCCCCCCCAAAACCTCCAGATCAGGCTTATCATCCCTGGTTCTTTCCAAGGCCTCTCAGCTGGCCAAGCACCTTGGAGGTGTGCAAAAACCACTCGGCTTGGAATCAAATTCCAGGGGTTCTTATTCTACCTCCATGGTGTTTTGGTGACTTGGCAAAGCCCTCCATTCTCTCTAGGCCTTGTGGCCCCCTTCCTTTAGTTGAGAGCGTTGGACTAGGTGAGCTTGGAGGTGGCAGCTAGGTCCTTACAATGCCACAGGCACACGCTGGCGTGGTACCCAGTACCAGCTCCGGCACCAGCATCTTTGCTTGGCCTCGAGGACAGTGTGTGAGTTGCAAAAGCAGGCAGGAGACAGCAGAGTCCCTAACGCTCCTTTGTTAGATTAAAATAAACACAAATCTCGCCTCCCGCTTCCTGGGGTGTGCATCAGAGAAAACTAACAAAAATGTAAAGGAATGGGCCAGGGGGCTTGGCTCTGCTTCACCGAGGCCCTGACTCCCAGGGAAGTCCCGTCTTCCCTTTCCAGGCAATTTTGGGAAGGTTCCCTCGGCACACAGTTGTAGGCTTGTTCCTCCAGGCGTAGGGGTGGAAAACCTCCCTTCTGGCCTCCCCATTTGGAAGACACAAGTCAAACACCTCCTGCATGTGGCTTCTGACAGACGGCGCTGGAGAGAAAGCGTCAATGAGGGACTTGTCTGAGGCTGTCTGAAGTTGAAGGCCAACGTGAGGCTGTGGCGAGGGCAAAGGAGGCACCGTGTCTGGGCCGCAGTGACAGAGAGGTGCGGTCCCTGGAGACAGAGCTCAGCCAGGGCTGGAACTGCAATAAGCTTGGGTTGGAGAGGCAGGAAGACTGGTCTCCAGAGTCCAGGTGCTTCGTCAGAGCGGAGGAAGCCTGCTGCCTCTCCGACCAGAGAAGGGCTGGGTTCGGGCTCGGCCACCTGTCCTGCCCCATCACCTCCTGCACTTTCCCAGTGGCACACTCACCCTCTCTGCCTCCTCCGTGCCCGGCTTCGCAGCCAGAAGAGAAAAGAATTCTAAATCCCGCTGTGCTTTATAGCAAAGGCCTCACTTACACGCTGTCCCCTCAGAGCCTCTGACACACGACAGGCAGATGGGTATGAGGGGGTCCTAGGCGCACTCCCTCGGTAGGGAGGCTGCGGTCGAGAGAGAGGAATTCATGTAACATGCAGGTCAAGGCATTGGGGGGCCTGATAGGGATGATGTTCTGAGATTGGTGTAGACGCAGGGGAGGAATTCAGAAAGTGAAAGCATTAAGAAAAGGACCCAGCCTAGCCGGAGTGGCTCAGTGGTTGAGCATCGACCTATGAACCAGGAGGTCACTGGTTCAGTCCCCAGTAGGGGTGTGCAGAAGGCAGCTGATCAATGATCCTCTCATCATTGATGTTCCTGTCTCTCCCTCTCTCTTCCTCTCTGAAATCAATAAAAACCTATTTTAAAAAAGAAAAGGACCCCAAATCTTAGAGGACGAGTTGTTTTCCAAATGTTGGGCCCCGCTTGGCACCACATCACCAGTCCCAGGTGATGGGACAGAGGGAAGGGGAGCAGCTGGGCTGTTGTTCTTGCACAGCTGCACACCTTCCCTCCCCCCCCCCCCCCCCGCCCTCCCGAGAGCCATGCAGTCCATCTCCCAGGTTCTCTCAGGCACCGCTGGCCAGCGAGGCCAGGCGCCCATCCCGCAGAGTTCATGGACAGTAACTTCAGCAAAGCCAGGACACAGGGTCCAACCCCGACATTCAGCTTCTCAGCTGTGTAGACCTCCTTTTGCGAATCCAACCTAGGCCAGGTGAAAATACAAACACCTTCCTATAAACGACCAGTATTCAATGAAAACTCCCTTCTGTGTGTCTCCTGAGTTAGTGATGATGCCTATGTTTACCTTTTCAAAAGTGTTTTCACAATCCAGCATCCCACTGGGACCACGTGGCCGGTCTTTCCACCCTATGGCACAGGTGAGGGAACTGAGGCCCCGGGAGGGGTGAGCCTGCCAAGAGCCCCAGGTAGTGAGTGGCGGGGCTGAGTGAGGCTTCACGGCCCCACTGCATCTCTGGCTGCCCTCCACCTCAGTTTCCCTTGACGGCCGCTCCCTCCCAGGTGTCCACCTGAACGGGGCCCAGCTGGGCTGTGAACTGGCCGAGGGGCAGGAGGAAAGGTGGTCCAGGCCAGAAGAGGAAGAGGAGGTGTGTTTCCCTTGGCTGAGTGGTCATCAAATGCAGACTCGGCTCTCCCCACCCCACCGCGGCCGCCACCTCCCGTTCAGTACATCAAGTCCTTTCCTTTGCCTTTATTTGCTCTGGAGATGGCTGAGAACCCTACCCTGGCTGCCAGCGGGACCCGAGACTGAGGTCACTTCTCTCTCTGAAAGGACGCTGGGGATGGAAAAGTACAGCCAGCCCCCCACTCATCCCCCTCACACATAAAGGGCTTCCTCCGGGCCTCCCTGGACGCCGAGGAGTGGCTGAACATCAGAACTGGGAGGAATCTCAGAGTCATCGAATTTTGGAGATGGAACGTCCAGGGTTCAAATCCTGGCCCTGCTACTTAGCAGTTGCATGACCTTCGAAGGGTGACCTTCACTCTCTGGGCCTCAATGCACCTCTCCATCTGTAAAACGGAAGTAACTCGCCTACCTTAGGAAACTCACGGATGATACACAGGCGGGAATCCGTAGCTTAATGTCATTTGGAAGAGCATCTTAGAACCCAAGGATCCCAGAGTCTCCATCACCCCGGAGAATCCAGGGCAGGAATCCCAGCGCTTTGTGGCCAGGGAGAAAGGCAGTCAGCGTGGAACAAAGGAGACATTGCTCCGCTGGGTCCCGGGGAAACCGGCCCCGCCTCCAGGCTGGCCTCTCAGCTGGGCCGCTGACGCAAAACGAGCATCTCGCTCCCACTGTTTGGCTTGGAAACAAGGCTTCCTAAAACACACGTTCGTGGTAAACAAGCCCAAAGAGAGGAAAACAAGTCGAGAGGCTAAAAAGGAACCCGTGGGCCAGGCCTGCCAGGGAGCTGGGACTTGCAAAGAGGGCCGGGCCACGCCGGAGAGGCGCCACGGCGGCCCGTGAGGCCACCCCGGCACTCACAGGCCGGGAGCCGCACAGCCACTGGAGTCCTGAGATCGAGCCTTGGCGATGTGGCCCAGCTCACCGTGCAAACGCCTGTCCTCTCTGGACCTCACCGACCCACCCATCTGCACAAGGAGGAGGTGGTTTAGATCCGTGGTGTTCAGAATTATGGCTGCCAGGGGGCCCTTCCTCTCAGGGACATCTCCTGCAGAAGCCCAACATATGAAACCGCTAACACCCTTCTGCATTTGTTGAAACATGTGAATGTATTGTTATCTATTCAATAAACCAGCTTGAAATTAGAACACAAAAGCCAGTAAACATGAAGAGGAGATAGGGCTGGAAGGACACATGCCTGGGTGCCTAGGAACACACTTTGAAAACCCTGGAGCAAGGTGGTCCCTACGGTTCCTGACTTCTGAGTCAACTCAGGCAGCTGGTTAGGAACATCACCTCCCCCAACTTGTCCCTCAACTTGGCTTCCACTCCTAATATTTCTTGCTGGAAGGGAAGAAGGCAGGGGAAATCTTAGGGTGTTATAGGTGCTCAAGCTTAGGATTAAAGAGGTTCTGAGGCAACTCAGAAATAGCCCCAGCATTATAAACTGATGAACCAAAAGATAGCTATAGAGACAGTAAAGCAACAAGCAGACTGTCAAATTACAGCGGGGAGGGGAGGGAAATCTGGGGGAGATAAGAGATCAACCAAAGGACTTGTATACATGCATATAAGTACAACCAATGGACACAAAACTCTGGGGAAGGGAGGTATGTATAGGAAGGGGGGGGGGCAATGGTAATATAATAATTTAATTTTTTTTAAAAAGGAAAAAAATTAAAAAGAAATAGCCCCGGAGTTTGGGCCTGGAAATCAGGCGTCTGCCATGCCACGTATCACTATGCCACGTTTCACAGTGGTTAGGAGCAGCCCAGGGGTGGAGCTTCAGGCTCTGCTCCTTGGCTCCCCCTAGGGGCCACTGCTGTTTCCCTGTGACCACAAATGGAGGGGATGAGAAACAACATCCAAATGTCTAGCCCTAAAGACAGCAAATACGTGGCATATGTGCCTCCACCTGCTCCTCCTGTGCATGTGGCAGACATTACTAATCAATGATACGATCTTTCCCCCTGAAGTCGAGTAGCATCTGAATCCTGAACAGTTCTTCTGACAACCACTAACCATGACTTATGAACTTCACAAGCCATGTGATGAAACCTCTTTGTCATGTTTCTGGTTTTAGAAACAGAACTCTTGAGGATCAGAGAGGGGAAATAGCTCACTCCAGGCCATTCAGCAAGCGGGTAGCTGAGCTAAACTACCAGATGTTAACCTTGTTTCGTTTTGTTTCTTTTTTCATCTGGTCAATCTGGAATCCTAACGCCACAACTAACACAAAATGGTTCAGGGGGATCTCCTGTTGATACCAAGCTTCTGAAAGAACCCAGGTCCAGAGAGAGTTTGTATCCCATCCATATTTCCCCTCCAGACATCCAGCTCTATGGCTTGAAGAGTGGGAGCAGAGTTAATTTCCTGTCTAAGACACCTCCTCCTGAGTGAAGAGGAGGCTGTTTTTCTAAATAATTGTGTCAAGTCACTGCTTGCTGACTCTGGCCCTTCTCAGCCCCGCCATCCCTGATCTCAGGACTGGGGCTGGGAGTCAGGCTCTGTGATGTAGAAAAAAAGTAACTTCATTAACCCCCCCTGGTCAGTGAAAGCTCAGCAGCTCCAGCCTCCCTCCGGCCCTCCTTTAAAGACAGAGGCTGGGGAGGGAGTCAGCAGGAAGCGAAGAGCAGCTGCCTATTAGATACATGGCCAGGCTGCCCAGTGACAAAACCATGGGGGTTGGGACAGGCCATGGCAGGCAGCAGAGGAGAGGAGATACTGCGCGTCATCCGTGGGGCTTGTTGCCTAGAGGGAGGTGTGGGGACATGATAACACACTGATCAGATGAAAAATAGAAAAAAGGCAAGGTGAACATCTGGATATTTCCAAACGTCTGGAAGGTTGGCTCAGACACTTTGCTGTGTGTCCTTGAGTGAGTTATTTCCCTTGCTGAGTCTCAATTTCTCTACCTGTGAAATATATTGTAACAGTGATCTGGTGCTGTATGTATGTATGTATGTATGTAACGTGTCTATCTTCCCATCGTGATCTATAGTTGTGTCTGACTGTGCACATCTATATGTGTGAAGTTGCCCCTGTGTGCCTGTGTGTGTGTGTCTACCTGACTCAGCGTCTCTCTGTTTCGGCCTGTCCAAGTGAGGGTAGAGTTTTCAGATGCATCAGGATATTTGCCTGGAATTTGTCTGTGAGTCAAGGTATCGGGGATTTGGTTCATGACCTCTGGGTCTGCTCATGTATTGATCGGCATTTATTTTTTAGCTGTGCCAATAGGTGCCTACTGATGAAATAATGTGTGTACTGAAAAAAAAGGAAATAATGTGTATATTCTGAATCCTCGTGGGTATATGTCTATCCGTGTTTATCTCGGCATACTTAGCTACCTATCTAAATAGCACCCAAAAACAAACATTCTCCTGTTTATGTCACATCCTCAGCTCCTGCCTTTCTCCCACCATCCTTTCCTATTTATAGCTTGTTTTCAGCAAGAAAAGCTGCTCTTGTGAAGAGCGAGCCCCAGCCATCCTATGGCTGACAAGTCTCTACAGATGGATAAAGATTTTATCAGGACTGTTATGCAACCCAAGTTGCCAGGGGCCCTCCTCGTTGTTTTCTTTTTTCAACTCGGGGAACAGGGGGTGCTCAAAATGTAGGCCAGCTCTTCCTTCCAATGAAGGCAGCATCTTGGATTTAGGTTTGCAGGACTTCAGAGCAGGATGGGCAACTAGAGACCATCTAGGCTAGATTCCCCATTTAACAGATTGAGAAACTGAGGCCAAGGGATGGGAAGGATCTTTCCCAATGTCACTCACTGTTAGGACCCACTCCTGCTGGTGCCTGGACCAACGCTCAGTCAACACTAGAGGATACAATGCTCTTGGGAAATACTCAGGAAGAGGCCCAAATCAAAATGAATCTACATACTGTGTTTTTAATATGGTTGTCTGCACTTTTAGTAAGATGATGGAGCTGCCCTCCCCCCCCCAAAATAAAAAATAAAAAAGCTGGAAACGATTTCACCAACCCTTTGGATGCCATAAATCTATCAGTTCTAAAAAGCCGTGCAGTACGTGGGAGGGCCACATTTTAGCAAGTGCTTCCCTGCGCCGTATCCCGTTTCGCCCACATAATTTCCCTGTCAGGTGGCTGTTGCTACTGCTGCTCTTTAACCAAGGAGGAAATGGGGGCTCCGAAAGAAGTCATTAGTTCCAGGTCAAATGGCATCTTCGGGGCAAGGGTGGAACTAAACTCAGGTCTTCAAGACCCTGTCTGGGAAGCTTATCACAGCCCCATAGCTGCCCTGGGGTCCTGGGAAGTCAGCAGGGCAGGGCCTGCAGCCTGCTTTTTTAGTTTTGGGGATGCAGTGGGGTGGGGGACATTCAGACTGAGCCTGATGTACTCTGGAGTGTTCCCAGCATCCCCTCCCAGCCAGCAGGCAGAAACTCTGAAAAAGGTTACCGTGGCAACCCGCATTCCTCCCACAGTGAGTCAGGCAGAGAAGAGCCTTTCAGTGGGTGGGACTTGGAGAAAGTTTCAAAAGTTGATTCCTTCTCCAGGCCCCCCCCTCCCACCCCACCCTCCCTCCCTCTGCTCCTGCTTTGTCGATGTGGCAGCTGATGGCTGAGTTAACTCTCTCTTCCCCCAGCCATTTCTATTTCAAACTGTTTCATCCTCCTGCAGATATACATTAGCTCCCAGCCCCCATCCACTCATCTCCCACACCATGCCCTCTGGCTATCTATTTTGCAGGCTGTGCATCCATCTGACAGTATTTTCAGGTTGCCAACACCCTTTTGTGCTCTATTTCTCTCTCTCTCTCTCTCTCTCTCTCTCTCTCTCTCTCTCTCTCGCTCTCGCTCTCGCTCTCGCTCTCTCGCTCGCTCTCTCGCTCTCTCTGCTCTTCACAGTGTTCTAAGGGGCTTGCAGATGCCTTGAAGTCCATTCACGGGTGACTCTGTGGATCCCCGTTTAAGAGACCTTCCTTTGAAGTCTCACAGGATGTCAGCTGTCCCATAGCCCCTCAAGGCCAACCCTTACTTTACAGACCGGACACTACATCCAGAGGCGTCCCTTACCCAAGACCACACGCAGAATGTGTGCTAATGTCTGCCATCCTGCATCCTTCCGATGTGCTTCTCACACCACCCTCAGCACCTGGGGTGTACAGACACTCAGCCCTGATTGTGGCTGCTGAAAACTTTGTCTCTTTGTGCTCCGTGGAGGATGATGTCCTTTCCGGGGGCAAATGAGCACCTCTCTGTGCGCTTCTGGGCAGACGGAGCTTTCTGGAAGACCTGCCTCACGCCATGGCCCCTTTCTCTCCAGGACTCAGGAAGCCTGCTCATCAAGTCAACCAGCCAGTGGGGCCAGCAGGGAAAAGACGGGAGGGGCATCATCTGAAGAAGACCTAACACCTACAGGCGCAGCACGGGTCCTCTGTAGGGTTTGGACTTCTCAAAACCGGGAGGTATGTGTGTGGAAAACTGCCCTGGAATCTTCTCGGTCTTGCCTTTTCCCTTTCCCCTTCTCCGCACATCCCCCCACCTCATCCCCCCTACCTCCCCACATACACACACACACACACACACACACACACACACACACACCCAGCAGCCTACCTTAGGCCCAGAGCCCTGGCTGGACCATAGCAGACGCCTAAGTCTTCAGATCTAGACTCTCTAAGCGCCACTGCTAGTGGTTGTCTGTGTTTACACCCGAGGCGGGGGGGCGGGGGGGGGGGTAGCCCAGGGTGGGAGAATGCCCAGACCAATACACAGGGCCTCTGGAGTCAGTGTGTGTGTCTGGGGGTGGGGATGTGGATAAGGGAGAATTCAAGGGAAACAGGAGCCTTCCAGAAGGTGCTAATTAAAGGTACCCCCCCCCCTCCTCCTTAGCCTTCTGGAGATCCGCTTATTGTTCAAAGTCCCTCTTAGAAAACAAAGCCCCTGACCAAGACCCGAGTCCAGGAAGTTTCTTCTGGAATGGAGAGCCAGGCAGACCCTGGCTGCCAGCAGGCCCCCTCTGCAGCTGCGACCAGATCAGATTCCCAGGGAAGGAGACGGCTACCACATTTGCAACGGGAGCAAAGGGGACAGGCAGACAGCCTCTCAAACCAGACACAGAGGGAAGACTCCCTCTCAGATACAGAGAGATTATTTTCTGCAAACCTAGAAGTTAAGCTGCGATTGCACCTGAAAAGCAACAGGCAGAGAGTCCGGAGCCCCTGCCCTCGAGGGGAGCCCAAAGGAGATGCGCGCCCCCCCCTCCCTGACCCAGATCCCCAGCACAGCTTCCCCGCCCTGTGCAGGCACTGGAGGGGTGAGCCGGGGTGTAGGATGTGGAAGGGAGAGGCAGGGCAGGGTCGTGCATACCTCAGTGGCAGGCAGGCAGCAGGCTGAGTGCGCTCCGACAGTCTGAAAGTCTGCGGGAATGTGGAGGGATTTAGAGCTGGGCAACAGGAAACCACTCAGAGCTCTGGGCTGGGGAGGTCCCTCCCCCTCCTCTGTCTCCTCCTTCCTCCGCCCCTACCCCCACCCCTAGCCAAAGCTGTCTCTGTCTTCCATTCCTCTCTTCCTCTCCTTGTGGTGGGCTGTCCTGACCAGACTTCCCAACGCTGCCGCCTGCCTCCTGGGTTCTGGGGCTGCTGCCTAAACAGACTCACCGGGTGCCAGGGCTGGAAGGGCCTTAGGAATCACCTAGAACAGCCTCCTCCTTGTTCAAAGGGGAACCGAGGCCGGGAGGGGGCAAGGGATTGCCCAAGGGCCTCCAGGGGCAGAGCCAAAGCCAAGTGTCTAGATTTTATGACAGCAATCTTCACAGGAGCCCAACACCAGGCCATGCCGAGAAGGGCAAAGCAATTGAAAGGCCTTGTGTCTGCGACAAAGGCAAGGCCAGGACTGGCCTCTGTACAGACAAGAGAAGCTGCCACTGGTGGCGTCCTCGCTGAGGATTTGGTATATGGTCTAAAAAACAACAACACTGTTAACTCTAGTTGCATCACAAATAGACACATAAGAGGTTGGCTTTCCCGCTGGGAGATCTGTGTCATCAGTATAGAACAGATAAGGTGATGGATGGTATTGATAATAACCAGAGAAGTAACCGTAGCCAAGGTTCTCTGAGGCCTGAATGATCTTCACAGCAGCTCTTTGGCCTGGATATTGTTATGATGCCCGTTTCACTAATAAGGAAACAGGCTCAAAGAGCGTAAGTCACTTGTCAAGACCACCTGGCAGGCTGGTTCCACACTCAACGTGAGTCCGACTGATGCTCCAGGAACTTCCCAGTGCTTTCGGTCCTGGTTGGAGGAACAAGAATCACTATCTGGCCCTTGACCTCCAGAAGCTTTGGGTCTTGCTGAGAGGACATGCCTTAATGGATACACGCGTGGGACAGACTCTGAAGCGGATCCCCGGGACTCGAGGCAGGGATGCCAGGAGGAGCAGGCAGAGAAGGCTTCCTGGAAGAGGTGGATCTTGAAGCATGGACTGGGTTTGAGTAACATACACAGGGAGAAGGTGGAGAATGTTCTCATAAGCATCTGCACGACATGGCCTCCTCGCCTCCTCGCCTCCTCATTGTCCTCCTTGCTCACTCTATTTCATTCCCATCAGCTTCCTTTTAGCTCCTCAGCAACCCCAGGATCTTTGCACTTGCTCTTACCTCTAGCTAGAGCATCCTTCCATCTGATTTCCCTGTGCCTACAGTTTCCTCAGCCTTCAGGTCTCTGTCCTGATGTCATCTAAGAGAGGGCCTTGTTGACCACCCAACTTACTTCCACCTCCTTCTCTCTCTCACTGGCATAGTGCATCACCTTACACTGTTTCATCTCCTTCCTCGAACTTGTCACGATGAGAAACTCTCCCCGATGAGTTGGAAGGTCCAGGAGAGCAGGGGCTTCATGTGCCTCGCTCACGGCAGCGCTCCCGTGTCTAGAACAACGGCCGACACAAAGTTGGCTCGAATCAATGAGGGCATTGTTTTCTGACTGGGCTCCAGCCTGGAATCGTGCTGAACGCTGGTCTTCAGAGATCCTCAAGCCTACAAACATTGGATGGAAATTTTAGGCACCGGTGCGCTTTTCCGTAGAAAAGGTCCCTGGCTTTTTCCAGATCCTCAAAGGAAGTAGTCAGAAACCCAAGGAAGGATCGGCTCTGGATGACCACCAAGCCCTCTCCCTGGTCCAAAGCCAGGGCTGATGCTCCGCTTGGCTGTCCATACAAGGTGCCGGCAGATGCCTCAGAGATTTGTTTTGCCAACTAAACAGATGTATATTTTTATAGGACCCGTTGCTATAGTTTCCAGGCATCACAGGGACTAAAATTAACCTAAACGTTGAGTTTTCTTCATAAACTAAGATAATGATTCTGATGAAAATGAGCCAATGGAACTATCTCTAGTGTGTGGCTGGAGTGCCAAGGTGGCCTTTGGTTCAGGGACTGAAAAGCTGGTTGGGGCTAAGCTAAAGCTCTGGGACAGTGATCCCATCTGGAGACCTCTTTCCAGACCCCTGTGGGGACATCTGGGCCGGGATTCCTCAGAGGAAAACGTGGTAGGTTTATACCTAGGAGTAAGAGCACCCCTGGGGGAACAGGAGCCTCTGAAGCATGGGCGACTTTAGCCTGGGAAGGGACATGGAGACTCGTGTTTCTCCTCTTCCTTCCCTCCTTCCTCTTTAGTCCTTCCATTTTTACACCCTTTGGCCATTCCACAGTGCTTCCTCATCTACTGTCTCAATGAACAACACAGAAGTCAATGAGGGAGTCAGAGTGGGGCTCAGAACCTTTATTGTAGATATGGGGACACTGAGGCCCCAGTCACCTAGGGCTCCAAGTCACCTCACACCTGGCTAAGAGGCAGATTCTCAGCCCCACTTGTCTTTCTGCTGGGTGACTCGAGTCTCTTGATGTCATCTGATGGACCATCTCTTGGAGCTGGACTGGGGCCAGGTGGGCAACCAGTTTCCCTGTAAGAGGAGGAATACCTGGACAGGGAGTGAGACATCTGAACCCTGGAAAGAGACCAGCGGGGCTGTTGATTTGGCTTCTGGCAAAAAGGAAAGCAACCAAGCAGAAAGTTAAATAAATAAAAGCAGCGCCAGGAACCATCCCCTAAGGCCATACATTAGAAACTGTCATGAGCTCATTGGTTCAGCTCTCCAGGCCATAAATCCTGAGTGGGCCTCACAGGTTAAAAAAAACAACAACAAATTTTGCATGTGGGAACTTGGTGGCCTGTTGAAACAATTATGACTAAGCTGGGAAGAGAAATAATATCCAATATTGCTGAGCAGATACTGGGCAAAACACATTATACCTATTATCTTAATTAATCTCCACTTAATATATAAACTTAGGTAGTATGTTAGCTTCCCATTATTGCTATAATAAATTACCCCAAACTTGGTGACTGAAAGTGGGCATTTACTTTAGTCCTGGAGGTCAGACATCCGCCAATGAAGGTGTTAGCAGACTGTGTTCCTTCCGGAGGCTTGAGGGGAAAGTTGGTGTCCTGGGCTTTTCTCGCTCCCCAAGGCCACCTGTATTCCTTGGTTTAGGGCCTCTTCCTCCATCTTCTAAGCATGTCGCTCCAGCCTCTGCTTCCATCATCACATTTCCTTGTTCACTTCACCCTCTTGCCCCTCTCATACTCTTGTATAAGGACCCATCTGGATAATCTAAGAGAATCTTCCCATCTCAAAATCTTTAACTTGCCCCAGCCAGTTTTGCTCAGTGGATAGAGCATCGCACTGTAGACTGAAGGGTTCTGGGTTTGATTTCGGTCAAGGGCTTGTATGTCGGTTGCAAGCTCAATCCCATGGGAGGCAACCAATTGATGTGTCTTTCTCATAGATATGTCTATCTGTGTGTCTCTCCCCCTCCCTCTCACTCTCTCTAAAAATCAATGGAAAAATATCCTTGGGTGAGGATTAAAAAAAAAAAAAAAAAAAAAAAGATTCTTTAACTTAATCTGCAGTCTAAGGTAATATATTTATGATTATGGGGGTTTAGGATGTGGACATCTTGGGGGGGTGCTTTTTGTGGTCTTCCATAGGTAGATACAATTCCCATTCCTATTAAAATTTTTAAAAAAATAATTTTTATTCATTTCAGAGATGAAGGGAGAGGAAGAGACAGAAACATCAATGATGACAAAGAATCATTGATTGGATGCCTCCTGAACCTCTCATACCAGGGATTGAGCCTGCAACCCGGGCATATACTCTGACTGGGAATCAAACTGTGACCTTCTGGTGCATAGGTCGATATTTAACCACTGAGTCATACCGGCTGAGTCCCATTCCCATTTTAAAGAGAATACAGAAGTTCAGAGAACTAAACAATTTGCTCAAAGTCCCGTATTGGAGAAGTTGGGAATCCACACAAGTAACTCAACTCCACACACACACACACACACACACACACACACACACACACTATTGCTTCGCTGTACAAACCTCTGCTTCTGCCACACTCCTGGTGAGACCACCCTTCTTCCTCATCTGCCTCAACCCTAACCCGTCCTTCAATCCAGGCTGAATTTCTATTCTCTCAAAGCTTAGGGCTGATAGGGCCCTTGGGCCCTACCCAGTTGTACAGTGGGGAAAATTGAGGCCAAGGTCACAGTGTGGACAGCTAGGCCTGGAGCCCTGGCCTCCCACCTCCAGCTCTAGCTGCCCCTCGCCCGTGGAGGCAGGGACTGGACTGGCTGATCCCTTTAGGCTGAAGATTACATATCAAAACTCTGATATGTACCCTTTGTATGTCTGCCTCAAAGTCAAGGCTGCCAAGCTAAGAAGGCTGGGGTATGAAGACTGGCTCAGCCTGTTGTCTTATTACTGTATCTTTCTCCAGGGCGGCCCTCCCATTGGCTAAAAGGCACAAAGACCTCATTGTCTTCTGGATGTTGGTCCCCTGGGCAGAATGGCCACTGACCAGGGCAAGGCCCAACAGAGAGGAGGATGAAGTTTCACTGCAGTTCCCTCCCACTTGCAGTTCTCCCGTTGAGTAGTTCAGATTGTGCCCTCAGCTTGTTACAGCGCACAAAAGACTTTTAGACCCATAATCTCATTGCATGGCACAGTTAGTCTATAAAGTAGAAAAGTCAGGATTCACCAAGTGCATTTTGGGCTTGAGTTGACAGTGTCCCTGGAGAAATTGCCCAAGGTCACCCAGCTGGCCCATGTGGAGCGGGAATGGAAAGCCCATACTCAACATTTGGTCCAAGACTCTTCCCACTGTGTTAGCTTCCTCCATCCAGGTACCAGGGAGAGTTTGCCAAGGCATCTTCTCACAGAGCCCCCTTCTTCACTGAGGTGACGAATGGTTTATAGTGTGTCGGTCGCTCTTTCTCCTGTTGATGCAGGCCTACCCAAAGTGATGCTTTGGTTTGAGTTCTGAGTTCAGTTCTGCCCTCAGTAGGGTCTGAGGCCCTGCCTATGGTCTGTTAGCTCTCCCTTCCACGGTTCCTTACTGTAAAATGAGCTATGATCTTCATACTTGATCCACCTGGGT